TTTTTTTCTATCCTATCTAAAAATTTCCTTCATTCAATTATTTTTTTGAACGGCTTAAAAAAATTTTTGCTGCCACGACGCGTCAAGCCGTTCCAAATGCGGAACTTAAAACGAAAAAGTCTCTTGTTCATAATCTAAGTAACAAATCGGTTTCAAGCCGGTCTCAAATACATTATATATCGGATTAATCGTTTGGTTTTGTGGTCGCACCAGCAAAATTATCTTATCTTTCAACCAATCTCGGTTTATTTCTTTTTCCGATATACCATTGTTCAAACCGCAATGGCATATTGCTGTTCTCAATAATTTGAATGATTCAAAGCGGCCAACTGACATGATATCGAACAGTATTTGGCAGACTTCCAAAAAAGGCGATCACGGCGCCGATAGTTATGGCGATGATCGCGGCAGGGTATCCGTTGCACGGCGGCAGACGAGATTTCGAGCTGCTTCCTCGGTACAAAACCAGGTATCTGTAGGAAAATCAATATTATGTTTTCAAAGAACTTGTCCCTTCATTTTTTGGAAATACCTTGTCGTTTCAAACTTCCTTTTAAACTTTTAGGACTTTTGAAACTTTACTAAAGCATCCTTTGGGTGATTAATGTCCTCATAATAAATGCTCCCGACCTGAAACGACTCGAGTGTTTGATCCATTCCAAATGCGACCTTCAAGCTATCTCATGATAATTTTTAAGTTAGGTAGATTTTTCTTAAACTTCTAGATCTATTTTGAAGCTTTTTAGCCTAATTTAAAGCCTAAAAAAACTTCCAAAAAACGAGAAAAATTCTCCGAAACTTTTTATAATGCTTTATTTGCCATTAAAAAGCTCATTTCTGTAATTAAGACACCCAAAAAGATCATAAAGTTCCAAATTCAGAACCAACCTCAAAATAGCCATGTTAACCGTGAGCCAAAGGCTTGCCGAGTGGACGAAAACCGAGAAAATCGCGTAGAATTTCGTGTAAATCATCCAAAAATAAGTGAAATACCATGGATGACACACGGCTACCTGTAAAAATTGAACACTTTTTCATATTTTAATAAATTCATGTTTCATATTTGGTATTTTTGAGAAAATAAAAAATTACATGTTTATAAAGAAGATAAGTTGCCATGAGAGAAGCGTCACAGACAGCGATCATCATGAGGAACAGGTTGAATGGACTTTTCCGCATTGCTGGCCGCAGAAGGACCTGGAATTGTTTAATATGTGGATGGCTCAGCTGGGTAGGTCTTCGGTTAGGAAATAAGAGTCGAGGGTTCGGTTCCCGACGAGGTTTTTTTGAGCATCCTCTTTTTTTCGTCAAGGTTTTTGTTTTCAGACACATTCCTATATAGACCATTCTTCGCTATGGAACCTGGGAAATTTCTTAGTGGCCACTATAGTAGTCCAATTAGTGGCCACTTAAGGAATTAAAAATTAGTGGCCACTATAGAGGTCTAAGTGCTACTACTAGACCACTAAAAATTTTAGTGGCCACTTTAGGGGTCAATGGATCAACATCACTGGTCCAATCTGTTTTTTTTTACAATTATCAGAGATACTGAAAGGTATACTGGGTGAAAAACTACTGAAGTGGCCACTATAGAAGTGGGTTTAGTGGCCGCTTTAGTGTTCTCTCCAAGTAGTCCTTGGCGAGCCTCTATAGTAACCACTAAACATTTTCCCTGTATGCAAGGGGTTCAGAAACTTTTGAGAAAGTGGCTCAACTGGGTAAATCTTTATTTGGAGAAAAAAGAGTCGGAGGTTCGGTTCCCGTCAAGTTTTTTTGTGAGAAACACCGCTCTCTATAAAATTTTCTAAGTGGTCAATAGTTTTATGATATTAGTTCGTATCTCGACGAGACGGATCGAATGATTATACTTTTGTGCTGAAAATCAAACATGTTGGTATAGTCCGTTTTTAGCGACTTGAAAAGGCGGGACTTCTCTGCGCTCTCCTCATCTCTCGACGTCTCTCTCATATTTACGCGCTACTTCCATGTTTCTCTGACCTCGCAGGTGAGAGAGCAGAGAGTCGCAGACACGCGAAAAAAGTCGCGGTGGACGGACTATAGCGTCAGCATTTTCTCTATTATCTTTTATTTTTGAGTTGATAACATGAATTTTCTTGGAAACGGGAAAGCATTTTATCTAAAATAAGAACACAGTATAAGGATCGAAAAATATAATTTAAACATATTTTTTTCCTGAAATTTTTCATTTTGAAGCCAAGAAAAAAAGTATATTCATAATAAAAAATTTTTTTCAGTTTTTTTCCAATTTTCAATACAATTCTTATGAAAAAAATTGAAAAAAACCAACCACAACAATTGAAATATTGGCAAAAAAACACCGACGACGCATAGAAAAAAACGTGGACGTAGCCGTGAACAACGGTGAAAATCGACGAGAAAGGGCTGATCAGCTGAAAAAAGTTATATTTGTTTGGAAAAGAATGTATAGTTTGGTCAGGATGAACTGAGTTTCTAGAAGCTTGTGGAATTTCCAAGTTTATTGAAAATTCGAACTTTTAAATTTTTTAATGGTATTTTCCATCTTTTCAGGGAATTTTATTGAATTATTTTCCGAAAATAAATTGTTTAAATGGACATAGATCCTTTCATGGAGGTTCGAAAATGGAAACCTTTTTTTATTCCAAATACTCCTGCGCCTTTAAAAAAACCCTAGCAAATATTTTTAAAAACGAACCATTTTTTTCATTATATTTATAAATCAATTTACCAATTAGAACTCCGAAAAATCCGAAAGTATTCCTGAAAAACCTCAAGAAAAGAGACTTTCAACAGACTGGGAAATTTTCAAACCCCTCAAAAAGTTCAAAGCTCACGAAAAAAGAAAACTTTTCGCTTTTTGGTCCCTTCTGAACTTTCGGCCGAGCCAAATGAACGAATTGCAATTGCCGTTTTTTTTTTTGGGTTCTTAAGAGTCTGTGGATTTAGGAGGAAGGAGAAATCAAGCGGCCAAATTAGCCTCACTAACTCGTCGCTTCACTTTTTTTTTCCCCTCCCAGTCTTTTTTTTTCGGCTCGTTTCCGCTAACGATAATTAGAAACGAGTCGCATGTTTCAACATTTTGCCGAGTTCAAAATGAACAAAAAATATATATAATTTTTTTGGCCGCACGGGGAATGGCTAGAATGTTGCCAAGGAGTTACATCAAGATGCGCCGGACCAAATACGACTTGCGCGTACCAGAGTTATAACGCTCTGAGCCATTATAAATGTCGGAAAAAAAAAATGTAAAAATTGAGCAAAAAACTTTTTGCTCTACAAATTTCAAATAAAATTCCAAGACTTTATAAAAAAATCAATCAAAAAAATTGAAATTGAAAAAGATTGAACACTTTTTATTATAATATTTGAACTTTTTCAAATTGAGAAAATGATATAAAATTGAGCTTATTCGAGAAATGTTAAGCCAAAAAAACTTATAAGTTCTTTGAAAAAAACATTTTTTTCTTGAATACTTTTCCAAAAATTTCAATCGAAATGCGTTAGAAACTTTTTTTCAAGCAATTATTTATTATAAGAAAGGTCATCGACTACAACTAACCTAAAAAAATAAACAAAATAATGAGCACGAAAGTTCACATCCATTTCCTTGTCCCTATTTACTCGCCAAAATTTTGAAATTCGCACTTTATCAGTACTTTTCCGAATCAAACCCAACAATTTCAAGTACCCCGTCTTCAAAAAAAAGGCATGAGGAATGTTGGAAAAAGGCCTGAGGGTGCGAAAAATAATCAGATTTTCGGTTCCTTTTCCTGACCACCATTTTTTGGGAAGAATTTCGGCTTTTCCAATCGGAGAAAAAAAAGTGGGAGTTTACTTGCAAGATTACTTCGAAAAGCGAGAGAGGAGGATCTCGGATTCCGAGCACTTCGGAAATATCTGCAAGAGTTGAAAAACGCGAAAAAAAATACTCGTAAACTGGTGAAATTTCACTTTTTTCCTCAAATTTTTTTCATTAATGTTTTTGTCACTTCTTATTGCGTGAACTAACTTGAACTTTAACATTACATCACTGTTAACTTTTAAATTGTGAAGTACTTGAGCAATACTTTCCAAATTACAGCAAAAAGAGGGAGGAAAGACAACGCGACGCCGCCGTCTGCTCGCCTCGGCCTCATCCCGAAATCGCTGTTCTCGCCGAAACGAGCAAGTCGGTTGGCGTCGGGACACGCAGCAACGTAAGAAGGACTCGTTTCCATCGTTCAGTATCGCTTCTCGGCCTATTGGCTAAGATCAAAGTGTAGTATCTGTTCTTATCGTATTAACCTACGGTATGTGCTCGAATGAGTACAATATAGGTTAACTTATTTTTGCAACCGAGAGTGGATCCGGAGCTTGCTCCGACCGCTCAAGGGTCGTCCCAGCGTTGCACTGCTGCAGGGCACGGCCCAGACCTCCCCGGGGGTCAAAAAGAAATATGAACATGGGAAAAAAAGAAGTACTGCTGAGGTCCTACACAATAAGTTATGAGGGATAGTACTGCCAGAATGAATTTATTGCTATTATAAGGGAAGTATCTCGAAAGAAGTTAGGTCTCAATAAATAAAGCTCTGCATAAACTCAAAAAAGCAAAACTTTTTAGAAGAAGCTGTCACCTGCTCAAAAGAGTTGAGATTTCAAGAATTGATTGATTTAGAAAACAGTTATGACGTTTTTTTTTGATGTGTGAAATTATAAAAGAGCTGTCACGGAAAATTAACAGCTCAGAAAATACTTTCACACCTGTCCATCACTCGTAAAACTCCTAAAATCTGTTTGATTGCCTTTAGAAAGCGTAAAGGTTGCTAATAATAATAATGATAATATATACTCATCCACATGGATCAGTAATATTTTCTTTCCTGGGCAAAAAAAATTGGGGTGGGAGTTTCACAGAAACCTATTCTGAAGTCGATCTAACAGGTTTTAGGAGTTTTGCGAGTGGTTACCAGGCGTGAAAGTATTTTTCTGAAGTATAATTTTTTTCTCTATGACGGAAAAAGTTTTTTTAGAAAGAACTTCCTTCACTCCGACCTTACTAAATTTCTGAAATGGTATCTGTATCTCATTTAACCTTTTAACAATTGGAGTAGTACTGATCACCTAAGCAGGACTGTTTTTTTTTCTTTCCCTTCTGCAGTTCTCTCGAAACATGTCTCTTATAATAGGAATAAATTCATTCTAGCAGTTCCATCACTCATCTTTTTCTTATTGTGAAGTACTTCTGCAGTACTTCTTTCCTTTCCACGTTCATGTTTCTTTTTGACCCCCGCGGAGGTCTGGGCCGTGCCCTGCAGCAGTGCAACGCTGGGACGACCCTTGAGCGGTCGGAGCAAGCTCCGGATCCACTCTCGGTTGCAAAAATAAGTTAACCTATATTGTACTCATTCGAGCACATACCGTAGGTTAATACGATAAGAACAGATACTACACTTTGATCTTAGCCAATAGGCCGAGAAGCGATACTGAACGATGGAAACGAGTCCTTCTTACGTTGCTGCGTGTCCCGACGCCAACCGACTTGCTCGTTTCGGCGAGAGCAGCGATGTCGGGATGAGGCCGAGGCGAGCAGACGGCGGCGTCGCGTTGCCTTTTCCTCCCTTTTTTTCGGTGAAGAGAAACACTTTTTTTATTTTAATTTGTTTCTTTATTATCTTTGTTCGTTAAATTTTTGATGGATTTTGAAGTTTTTTTGCCTTGTTGGATTTTTCATCATTTCCTCATGCAAACGTGAGAAAAAAATATGTTGTTGATTTATTCGAATTTTTTTCGCGTTTTTCCTCAAAATAGCGATTTGGCGAAAATCAAGTTCAATTTAAATTATAAATTATAGTAATACTGAAAAAAAGGCGGTTTTTTTCAAAAATTTCTCGTTTTCGTTTCATGCACCGTTTTCTAAGAATTACCATCAAAACTCCTAATTTATACTTCTCTATATTTTTCATAATTATGGATTTTAAAGTTTCCTTCAATTTTTTTCAAACCGATAAACTTTCCTTCCTCGTTTAGAAGAGAAAAAAACTTGATCCCAAAAATTTTCATCTCAAAAAAATGCATTCGAATTCAAATTCTCCGACAATATATTCAAAAAAATGGGTGGCCTCAAAATTTGATTTTGGAGAAACTCAAGTTTGACGAAAAAAATCGAAATTTGTTCCTTTTTGTGAATATAGTGTTGATTTTTAGCAATTGAGTCAAAAAAATTATTATTTTTTTGTTTATCTTTGAACCAAAAAGGGGACAAAAGGAAGCGAATTCTTCGCTTTTAAACCTTTCTTTTAAATATCTTGAATAATAGACCAAAAAGATGCGTCACAATAGAAGGAACATTATTGTTTTTTTCTCACTTTCAAAAAAGCATACTTTTTATTATTTTTTCTTGTCAGACTAATTCGTAGAGTTGCTACAATGGTTTTTGCGACGCGGCTATGTCGTGCGACTCGGCTGAAAAAGGTGACGTCATTGAATCAAGCTCGTCTATATTTCAACTCAGAAAGTTTGCGACTCGGCTAAAAGGTGACGTCATGAAGGGGTGTTGACCTTCAATTAATCAGTAGCCGAGTCACAAGCCTTTGGTGCGACTCGGCTGTGACGTCATGAAATATTTTTAACAGTGCGTCGAACTACTAACACTTTTCTTATTAGGTAATGAATGAAAAATTAGCCGCGTCGCCTGCGACTCGGCTGTACTAATGAAATCACATCCATCCGCCTGTTTTCCACTTTTCTGTCGATTTCGAAGCGTTTCACGGATGAAAAAAGAGCAGCTAAAGCGGTGGTCGGCATCGAAATGAATTATTAAGGGATCGATTAAGGGAATTCGCGGCGAGAGGCTGTTTTTGTCGAGTCATTCAGGGAAACGGCGTGGGCGACGCCCTTCTTCTGATTTTTTGGGCTATTAAAGGAGCATAGAGCATTAGAAAATTAGGAAAAAGTCTCGAGACAAGGTGCTTTCATACTAATCATGGAAATGTGTGGCTTTTGATCTTTTCGAAGGTGAAATTCTTTTTTTAATGACCGTAAGTGGAATAACTACTTGCGTAAAGGCTTCGAGGCGGTTGCAACCGACCAGAAACGACTTACGCTTGATACCATTGAAAATTTTCAAGAAAGCTCGGCTTGCGACCGCAACGCCTTGAGCCATTCTAAATGCAACTAGAATATTAGTTTTAAATTTAAAAAGGTTTTTTTCAGGTCAAGCTTTGATATGAAAAAAATAGCCTGAAATTCATTATTTTGAGAAAATTAAAGATTAAACTTTTCAAGAATTTAAGCCGTACAAGTGGAGTATCGTTATAAATAATCTAAGTTTTTTTTCTTTGTTTTTCCTGCCTCGGTGCCTTTTTTTCAAGAATTATGAAAAATCTAACTATGAAAAAACTCAGAACACATTCCCTTATGCACTAATCAATCTTCATTTTTTCCATATTTCCTGGTAAATTCCTTCATTTCAACGGAAACACACATAATAATTCGATTTAGAACGTTTCCTGGAATGTATTTCTACACAGATCGCGTGTTTCATACTCGAAAAAAAATCGCCAGACAAGGACAAAAAGGTTTTTTTTGTAGAAGGAGATTTTTTGGTTAGAAGCATGTCATTTGGGATTGAATACATACGAAAATGAATCGACTGGGTAAATTGTAGTTTGGAAAATGTTAAAAAAAAGGCAACAGAAAATGTAGTAGAAATTGAAGTTTCGAAGAGATTTTGGAAAGAAAGAAACTGCATTTGACGAAGAAATTTTTTTCGTTAATTGTTCGGAAAGTCCAGAAAGATTTAACCATTTCGATTTTTTTTTAAAAACGCTTGGAAAATCATTAAAACCTGGTTTTAAAAACCATAAAAAAAGATTTTTACCAGTCATATAGGAGAAAACTTCAGAAAAACTCTACATTCAATAATTTATTGATCGTCATTAAAAAGAGAAAAATTTAAACCGCAGCGCGACCGCAACGCGTCAATCTATTTTCAGATAATTTCAAAATCTAAATTTCCCTTCATTATAAAAAATCTCAGAGAAAACATGGAAAATCAAGTAACAAAAAAACTACAATTTATCAAGCTTCTGAAAAATCTTTTGAAAGGCTCAATCAGGAAGGAAAACATTCAAAAAAACAAAAAAATAAAATTTCAAAGAACTTGAAAAAGCTCCTCAGAATATCTAAAAAAATCGATTAAAAAGCTCAAAGAAGGGGAATTTCGTACATAAAAATTAAAAAAACCTTCCGTCAAGTTTTTTTCAAAAATTCCAAAAAAACTTTCAGGTGCTCAGTAAAAAGAATTTTTGATTTACAAAAATAAGGAATCCTTGAAAAAAAAACCGAAATTCTTCTTAATTCTCTAAAAAAATCGGACAAAGATCTCATTTAAGAGAATTTTTGAAAGTTCAGGAAAAAAATTCGATTACCAAAGCTCTTAACTTTCACAAATCGTTCAAGAACTCGGGGAATTTTTTTGAACAAGAAAAATAATTTGAAAAAAACCACCAATTTTTCTGAAATTTTTTAAAAAAATCGAATAAGATCTCAATGAAGAAATTTTTGAAGTTCAGAAATAAATTTTAAAAAATCGCCGTATTTCTTAATTTTTCAAAAAAACCGTTCAAAGACTCACGGTCAGAGAACTTTTTCGAGCAAAAAAAATTTTTTTTGAATAACCACCAAGCTTCTTAAACTTTAAAAAATCAGTTCATATCCCCCCAAAAAAAAACGAACCTGACGATAATATTCCCTGGCGTCCTGTAGCTCAGTGCTGTTCAAGCCCATGCAATTCATGGCGACTTCTTTGGAGTTGTAGTTGATCAGAAGACCTTCTCGGAGTTGATAACGATAATTAAAAGTAGAAGGGAAGGGGAGGTGTCTACGAGGAGCGGCACGACATCAACCGCTTGGGGGGCACGACTTTGGCCACGCCTACTTTTCCTTCCTTCCTTTTTTCTTCTTTCTTGCTTGTTTCTCCTCGAGGGCACTGCAATCAGACATTTTTTCGACAAGTTTGTTGAACTTATTGGTCGCGAGAAACGGAAAATAACGAGAAAATGGAACTCAGGAGTTCAGGATCCTGAAAGCTCTCTAGATCAATTTCCTGAAAGCCTGTAGCTGCAAAAATCCTTGTTTTAAAGAAAAAAAATCAGGAAGAAGGCTCAAAAATGATTTGGAATGATAAAAAGTTTGAAAATATGGCTGCCGAAAAAAATAAACCTTGAGAAAGTTGGAAAAAAAGAAAAATCTAGAAAAATGCGACTTAAAAATAGTTGAAACTGGTCGAAAACTGGAGAAAAAAAGGAAAGAAGATCTAAAAAAATCGCTATAGTTGATCAGAAACACTTGGGAAATGATAATCAGATGAGATCATGCGTTTGACGAAACCGACGAAACAAAAAAATTGTTCTTTTTAATGAAAAAAATTAGATTTTTTTAGATTTCTCGAAACAGTAAAACGATGCAAAAATCTCGTCTAATATATCTCATTCGAAACAGGAAGGAAGATGAAATTTTGGGTCCGCGAATAATCGTGAGCGTGAATGGTGCATACACCAATGTTGGGGCTCGAATCTTTGCAGATTTTGTAAACAACTCTTTTTTAATCCTTTATAATTTTTCCAATTTTTTGGAAACAGAAGTTAATGGAGAATGTAGACAGAAGGAATGAAAATGTGGTCTTTGACTACGTGTACGCGCAAAAGACGCATTATTTGATAAAAAAAGTTAGTTGAGAAAAATTATACAGAAATCCGTAACAGCGCACCCACTGTAGAAAAAATATTCCATCGAAATTTTGTAAATTTCTTGAAACGGTAAAATGAACGGAAGGCTTCAATTTTAAAATTTCATTTTTATAATTTATTTCGGTAGGCCATTCCATACAAAAAGTAATACCATAAAATCAAGAACAAATTATTGGATAAACCTAAAGTTAAATAAAAAAATCTTGAAACAATGAAGTGAGTTTAGAGCAATAATCATTCGAATTCAGTTTTGAAGTTTCATTTTTCGGAGTTTCATTTTTAAAAATCTGCAAAAAACCTCGAAATTTCAAATTTCATCCTAATTCCTCAAATTTGCCGTCTCCAATTTTTTTTTTACGGAAAAAATCATAAGAGAGTTGACAGTCAAACTGGAAGTTGGAAAAAAATCTTGAGGCGATTAAAAAAAGATAAGATCACCTTGATAGTGAGCAGAAAAAAGAGCCGAATGACGTTAATTGATAAAATCGAGAAAAGTTCAAAAATGAACAGGAATTTGGAACGAAATTTCGAAGAAAAAGAAAAAATTCTGATTAGAGGGTAAAAACAATGGATTCATGATGAAACTTGCTCGAAAAAAAAATAATAAAAAATCTTGCCAGAAAAGAATTTTGCTTGATTTGGTCAGGATCATTAAGAAAAATATTGAGAGGAGAAAAAAGGTTGAAAAACATTGCAACGCGTAAGTCGTGGAAAGTCGGGCGCAGGGAAAAATGGTTTTTAAGCGGAAAGCCGGGCAAATTTCTTTTCCTCTAACAACTAGGTTACACATTGAAAATAGGTCTAAAAAGCTTTTTTTTTTCTCAAA